ATCAATCTCTTTGCCTCAATAAAGTAGTTCTACGTACCCCTCCTCGTAGCCTGACTGGTGGCACGCTTACCACGCACGCGGTCCGAGGTAAAATCCCGGATCGGTTACCCAAGCCTCACCATTCGGAGACAGTAGATTGGTACCAGTTCGCCTGAGAGGATAGGAGCCCTATCTTGTACATCGGCTGGCCCCCTTGCAGTTCATCCAGAAGCATGCCTCTCATTTTATAAAGGAAAAAAGCTAATAAACTGGCCTGCATGGCGCAATCTGGACTGAAATCATGAAAATATTTCCTGCGAATGGGATCATATTGAAAACCTGCAGTTTATATTTAGGCGGTAGAGTTGAGCAAAGCTCGTGATATCTACGAAGAGAGCGTGAGACTCGTCCACGAGCACATTCAAAGAGGTACTTTAATGTCAATTTTTTTTCGCAAAATTTACCATTCATCTTTAACTTGCTGGCCTTCTTGTGGTTGCTTTCTAGCAGACGTAGAAAATTTCTGAGTTTAGAATGACGCTTGGGATTTTCTTAGTGATGTTACATTTCAGGACTTCGTTTGCCTGTGGATAAACTAGCACCGAAGAATGTTTCCTACGAGGCTGTACTAGCCCCGTCCCATGTTCAAACGCTGATGGAATTGTCGGGTTGTCAAACGGGACAGTTCAAAAGCGCTTGTACTGATCTGTGTTTCCACAATAAATACAGGTATGTGAGCATACTGTGTAAGGCAGCGTTGAGACTTCGCGATGACGCGCGTTGACGCGCTACGGCGCGATGTCTAAACGCTGCCAAAATGTCCCCGCCGCTGTAAGTGTGTCGGCGAATGTCTTCCTGTGCCCTTTTTCCGACACGAGAAAGTCAAAAGGTGCTTAGTAAGTAGACTATGAGTCTTCCCCATTCTTTGATTATCGCGGAGTGTATTTTCAACTCAGGCTCATTACCTTTTATCGGCATTGCGTGACCGCTTTTGGTTTTGCAGGTCTTATGACGGCCAGTGCAACAACTTCGACCACCCGATGTGGGGAGTGTCACAGATGCCGTTGCTACGATTACTTCCACCAATCTACGAGAACGGTTTCAGTACACCGGTTGGATGGGAACGAGGACGGCTGTATAATGGATATCCCAAGCCGAATCCACGTGATGTGAGAACTCTTTTTGGATTTTGGAAACTTCTCTTCAAAGAGTTTTTCACTTCAGCCCCTTTATTGGCCATATTTCTGGTTTTCCCTATGTTTACCTTACCAACATTTCGTACTATTTTTCATTCGGTATTCTTGACCTTTTCACCTAATTTTGCCGCAACGAGGTGTTTTTCGGCTCCTTCTGCTGCTTTCCCATCGTCGTGTCACTGCTGTGTATAGGAGTTGCCGATAGTTATTCCAAAGTTGGCGAATTTGTGCAAACTTTCACTTGTCTGCCTGTGCTAATTGGAAGCAGCGGAATGTGCGAAATACCCTCTGCACCCCGAACTGCGCCAATCGAAGTGTTTCTTCTTCAATTTACCCTATTCATTCAGGTCTCACGGTTACTCGTAGCCACCGAAACCGTCACACCACATTCGTATCTTTCAGCAATGGTGATGCAGTGGGGTCAATTTGTAGGTGAGTTTAGAGCAGATCTTGAAGGATATATCATAAGCCTTGGGCGGAGTGAGGTTGTCATCGCTCTTTTTCTCGCCTCTTCTTCCTAAAACGGACGAGAGGTCAACGTTAGTGAGGATGACGCTGTGCAGCCCGCCGCAAGCATCACCTGGGCGAAACTGTAGCCTTCAAGACTTAGTAGGACAAATTCATGAGTTTTCAGCATCCATAATTCTCACTCACACCGCTACTGCGCTGTCACGACAGAGCTATGCCTCTGGTGCCATTTGTAACAGGACTTGCGAGAATCTTGACCCTTGTTTCAACATACCGCTATCGCCTAATGATCCAAAACTGCACACTGGAGTGTAAGTCTTTTATCCATCTTTTCTTTTTAAATCCAAAGGTAAAATGATTATGCATCAGTTGTTGTTTTGCCTATTTTTGGATGGTCGCGCGCTCTATTCCGTGGTTTGGCTTGGGAGGGACATTTTGCACTTTCGCTGCTTTCTTTTCCCTTAGTTGCTGTGAAGTTAGAAGGCCCAATTCGGTGAGACCTGTAGGCTATTGTCAAGTGTAACTAAAGTTCTCGCTCTTGCTTAGCTTCACGGAACTATACAGGCCTCTGAAGGAGAGAGTGGCGGTGATCGGGAACCAGCAAAATGCCCTAACCAAGCCGAACTGCCTCCAAAACCTGCTGGCATCATGAATCTGTTTTAGCCGCTGCAGTAACTTTTGAAGCTCATTTGACGTACGGATCAGTGCTTAAGCTGGCACCCTTTAAGTATCCCTCAGTAGAAGGAAGGGGTTGGCTTGAGCGAGATTTGATCCCTTACATACCTCTGCATGCTAGAGCGGCGCCACTTGCCTCTGAATCGTTCCTTTTTTGAGGCATGCGCTCTTGAGAATATTTCCGGAAATCGCTGCGGTCTCCAGTAAAAGACGAAGGGGTTTTAAATTTCGAAAACGATCGCGCTCTCAATGGCACAATTCGGTAGTGGGTGGAAAATTCATGACTGTTATGCCTTTTTCATGAGCGTCTCGTCCTCATTCCTCATCAGGAGGGGCATATCCATGTGGAGAGCGCAGCGTTTATGAGTCTCTGCCATCTGCTTATCGCAGACTCTATCTTTATATTATGATCCTTGAGATTTCCTAACGACTACTCCCT